TTCTTACAGCAAAAGTCAGTCGAAATGCACACCTGTCTACACATAAACTGCTTCAGGGAAAAAACCCAGATTTTAAATCTGTTGGTTAAAGACGATACTTTTCATTTCAGTAGACAAACACAGTTTTTCTTCTGAAAGACTCATGGATATTTTTTCCTATAAAACTTGGATACACAAGCATTAAATTATTTCAAAAAGGATAGCTAAGCACTTCTTACTCATTTTTTTTTTTTTGCCTCTTAAAAACATTATGGGATCCAGCTCAGAAAGAAAAAAGAATCAAGTAAGAGCCTTTAGTGTTTTTCCAAGATATAAAGGCATACAGTTTTGAACCAGAACAAAAATTATGAAGAAACTTACCATGTGACAAATATTGTAAGAAAACATACATTATTATAGGGAGAAAAAAAAAAAAAAGATTGTGTATAGTCTCAAATTTTTGTATGGTCCAAAAAGAAAAAAAGATAAATGTATTCCCTTTTGCATGCAAAAATTGTTAAAGTTAACAGCAGACCATCTGTAAATTATGCAAACTAGCTAGCTATTTGATAAGGATGATTTATTCCACAGTGAAGTCTAACAAAACTGGACCAGAATTAAACCTGTTACTTTTATTATCTACAAAAATGTATATTGAAAGATTAATTAAAAAATTTTATTGTTTTTACCATGTAAGAAGTATTTTTGAAGAATATGATGGATCAATAGATTTAATACTTGTTTATTAAGTTTTCTTAGAAAACAGCAAACAATACTTTTCTAAAATTAGAAGGAAGTAAGTTTCTAATTGATAGGTATTGATTGCTACTTTATATGTTTCTCTAACTTGCTTTTCTATTTGCACATGAATAGGTTACACCTTCTTAACAGAAAACTAATAGAAACCTTGTCCTGGCTATTCATTTGGTAATTTGTGGAATTTCAAAACCTAAGCTCCTCCCTTCTCCTTGTCTCACGTTTTATAATCAGAGATTGGATGAAATTTTTTAACTGTTGTACAGCTTTTCCTGAAGCGAAGAGTGAAGTAATTTGATTTTGTAGTAAGGTTGCTTAAGTTACTTGAACAACAACCTTAGATTTTCTTCCTTTTTTTTTTTTTTTTTTTTTTTAAAATATCTTCAAAACATCGTCTTGATGGTAATAAACCATTCAAATAGGATTGGTTGGTTGTTTTCCTGTCTGTGGAATAATCTGCAGAAGGATACAGATATGAAAAAAAAAATTGTCTGCACACAGATCACAAGTCTTCATTCAAGGACTGGGAACGGCAGCAACTAAGCTACCAAAGCAACTGGGATCTCCATATTTGAATGAGTTTGTCAGATGTATGACATTGAGGAGACATTTATTCACAGAAAAGTTAGTATAACAAAATTTCCTGCAGAACTGCCCATTAATGCTGAGTAATATCTATTTCGGGAGCAGATGACAGTAAGACATTCCAGAAGTCACTATGAGCTCCGTAGAAAATGTTTCACAGAAGCCAAGCTTCCGGAGCAACAAACATCCCAGTAGCTGATATAAACAGCTGGTATAAACAGAACCTCTGAGATACAAAAATCCAGCTATTGCTAAGCCTGACTGACCCTATGCACATTTTAAGAATGTACATCACATTCAGATACTTCCAGACACCCCCACCCTTTTAAGCAGCATTAAAACATGAGACAATAGCAGATATAATTTAACTTTAGAAGGGTTTTTACAGCGCATGTCGCAATTACTTCCACAACTAAGTAAATTCAGAATTTAGAAGAACAGTACCTAAAAGAAATCCAAACACTGACAAGCTTGGACATAGAGCGGATATTCTAAGCTGTGCAGCAGGGTCTCTAGTCCTATATAAAAAGGATCTCAAACTTGAAATAAACTTTTCCTAGTTTCTTCAGAAGAAGAGACAATTATTTTGATAAGTGATCTTTCCACTTGTACCAATTGATTATACTTTTAAGAAAAACAGAATTATGATTTTTGAAAGTGTTCCTATCCTGAGCTGAGCTCCCAATTTGGCAGCTTTCAAATGATGTATTTTCTTTTCTTGTAGTGGAAAAAGATGCTCACACCTTTAACATGTTTTTCATAAAAATTTACCGATGTTCATCACCTTGCAGTAGGAAGACAGAAAAATTGCCAAAAGAAGCAATCAATACAAAGATTGCTGCTATGCTTCCGCTAACAAGTAAGAGGCAGGGAAAACGTGCAGAACATCTTACTATCTCTCATTTTCAACTGACACAACATAGGTTGTGTTGCCATTGAGAGGGACCTCAACAGACTGGAGAAATGGGCAGACAGGAACCTCATGAAGTTCAATCAAAGGAAATGCAAAGGCCTGCACCTGGGGAAGAAAAATCCCAGGCACCACTACACACTGGGGCAGGGGAGGGGGCAGGTGACCAGACGGAAAGCAGCTTGGCAGAGAAGCACCTGGGGTCCTGCTGGACAAAAAGCTGAACGTGAGCCAGCAATGTGTCCTTGGACCAACAACATGGAGGGCTGTGTTCGGAGAAGCACTGCCAGCAGGTCAGGGGAGATGATCCTTCCCCTCCCCAGCCACTGGTGAGACACCCCTGCAGTGCTGGCTTCACTTCTGGGCTCCCCAGCACCAGAGAGACAGGGACATATTGTCACAGGGCCAGTGAGAGGCCACAAAGGTGATCAAGGGCTTGCCGCACCTGACCTACGTGAAGGCACTGAGAGAGCTGGGACTGTTTAGCCTCGAGAAGAGAAGGCCCCAGATCAATCTTACCAATGTGCAGAACTACCCAATGGGAGGGAATGAAGAAGATGGAGCAAGGGAGCAAGTCCCTTCTCAGTGGTGCCCACTGAAAGGAGAAGAGGTAATGGGTACAAACCAAACCACAGGCAATTCCACTGTTTTACAGTGAGAGTTATCAAACAGTGGAATAGGTTTTCCAGGGAGGCTGTGGCGCCTCCATCCTTGGAGATGCTCAAAACATGACTGGACAAAATCCCAAGCAACTTGCTCTAGGTGACCTTTCTTTGAGCAGGTGGGTTGGACCAGACAACGTCCAGAGATGTCTTCCAACCTCAACTATTCTGTGATTCTGTGAAAAACTTAGCTGATTTTCTGAAATGATCCTGCCTTTTTCAAGGATTAAAAACCTTTCACTCTTTC